AAAAAAAAAAAAAAAGCCTTTTGAGTAAGGGTGGGATTGGCATAGGTTATGTGTGTTTAAAACAATGAACATATACATATAAACTAAATGATAGCCTTGTTTAGCTATGAGGTCAAGCAGATCTAGATTCAAATTCTAGCTCTAATACTCATTGTTTCATTTGCTCTGGGAATAGACACATGAATAAATCAGGATAGATAAATATTTTTCCTGCCCTTGTGTAATTTATATTCTCATAAAATTTATATTTTAGTAAGGAGATATAAACTTAAATATATGTATACACTAAAATAAATATACAAAATATAGAGTATGTCAAAGGATCTTAATTAATAATGGAAGAAATACTGCAAGAAAAGGGATAAGAAGTGCTTGTGGGTGAGATGGAAATGGTATTCAGAGCAATAGCTGTATTTTAAGTGGGACGGCCAATGGAGACCTCATGGGGAAGAGGATACCTTAGTCAAGACACGAAGGCCTTACTAAAGACTACACGACCTAACTAAGGGAGACATTCGTGGGAAGAGTATTCCAGAAAGAGAGATGAATAAGTGTAAAGGTCTTTGGGCATGAGATAATAGGCATGACTGATATTAGCACATCCAATGGGGCTGGACTGAGTAATAGGAAATGAGGTTAAAAGGGTAGATTTTAAGAATTTAGTCTTCTATTCTGAACAGAGAAAAATATGTCCTGACTTATTTTTCACTAGGATTCCTGACACTATGTTGAAAATAGTCTTTAGAGGAGCTAAGGGCAGTCAGTGGCAGGGAGATCAGCTAGGAAACTATTACAAAAAAATCTGGAAAAGGATGCTGGCTTGGACTGGAATGACAGCAACAGAGGTGAGACTTGCTAAGATTCAGAAAGCATTTTGAAGACAGAGCTAACAGGATTTGCTAATACACTGGATGTCAAAGATGTCAGCAAGGTTTTCTGACCTAGTCAACAAGAAGGGTTGAGTTTGCATGAATTAGTTATACCACTGTAACTGGAAGAGTAAAAGAGTAAGTATAGTTTTTGACACACTAAGCTTCATATATCAATTTGTTAATCACCTAACATATTTAAGTGGAGCTCCTGGAGAAAGTCCAGGATAAAGATATAAATTGAAGCTTTTGTTTCAATGCTACTACAATTTTCACTGCTTTTCAGAATTACTGATACAACAACAAATAGTAGAGTCTAAATGGTATTTAAAGACATGGCACTGACTGGCTAGGCACAGGGGCTCAGGCCTGTCATCCCAACACTGGAGGCCAAGGTGGTAGGATTGC